ATTATTTATATTTGCTAAATGCCAGAATAATGAGAGAATTTTTTAAAAACGTTTTTTAAAGTCAGAAGTTGACATTCACCAAGACTATCCATCCATCCATGTGGTAAAAAAGGTAAAACTGTCAATGTGAAGTCATTCTGTAGGAGAGAAAATTACTAAGCTACAGGCCTTGTTTATTTATGCTTCATGCTATATTTCATGTGTAAAGTTTATAGCTGTGTCGAAAATGTTATTCCACACCAAGATCAGCACATGCAAAGCATAACATTGCTCTTCTTTGCAATATCTCAACCCATTGAAGCCATTCCTGTGTGAAAGAGAAGATCTGCCTTTTTCAGCGTGAGATCAGCTGCTGATTCCTCGAACTGTCTTCATCAGAAACTTGGGCACATGAGTGGCACAAGATGGTCTGAATGATCATGTCTTTTGAGAAAAGAATTGACACTTTGTTCTATTACCCCCAAAAGGCCAAACAAGTGTCCACGTTTATGTTATGGACACAGGTATGTGATGTCTTGCACAGCATTATATTCAGAAGTCACACTGGGGATCTTTGTGAGAAAATGTTGTAGCACCGACTCCAAAAATGGCCACAAAATGCAGCTAAATAGTCACAGTATGGAGTCCTGCACATAGTTTACAACAAGTTTTAAAATACTCTAAATACTTGTTTATCCAACTTATGAAATCTGAAATCAAGAAAAGGTTAGCTACAATTTAGACACAAATAGTTGCAGAATAAACCCAACAACTGTTAACAAACTCTGCCTGATAATGCTGACCATGTGTACAGTTTGTTCAGAAGCAATCAGTGGCGTGACTTTGAAATTACTGCCTTCACTTTCACTTTTGTTCGCTGCTCTCTTCAGGTAAAACAGGCCAGTTCCTGCTGACGATCATCTACACCAGTGTGATCTTCCTGGGCCTGCAGTGCTTCATGCAGATCCCCTTCGCCTACATCCCTCCGCACGGTAAAACCACACGCCTAGCAATCAAATAAAATGTCACCACTCCTGGCAGTAGATGTCAAAGAGGACTATAAATACTGTTTGATTGTGAAATGAGAGCATGGAAACACACTGTAAGCTGTGAGAAATGAATGTTTCCTATAAATGTAAAGCTTTTAGCCTTTAAGAAAACAAATTTTGTTTTTAGTTTGATGACTGTTTATTTGTTTTTTACAGTTAGTGGTATCTGGGAAGATGTCCTGTACCACCTCGGCATTGTCAGGTATGGAAGCACACTTGAACTTTCATAACTTTGAGCAGCATATCAATGAATCAAACTTTACTTATGTAGCACTTTTTATACAAATAGTGTACTTGTCTAGGGTGTTCCCTGTCTTCGCCCTGAGTCAGCTGGGATAGACTCCATCCCCCCATGACCCCAGTGAGGATTAAGCGGTGTATAGATGATGGATGGATGGATGAAAGTAGAGATGGAGATAGACATAGAAATAGAAGTCAGATTTATATAAAAACAGAATAAGAAATTGATTTTAAAAAATGAAGTAAGAAACTGTACATCAGATAGACTAACATATGCAAATAAGTGCATACATAGAGAAATTAATAAATGAAATTATTTCTAAGAGGAGTAAAATCTAACTAAAATCTAATAAATTAATCTACAGCCCGACTTTGTTGAGTTTGCTTTCAAAAACATCAAAATATCATCCTTAATGCATTTGTTTTTCACCATTTTCCAAAGCCCAACTTTTCCTGTTTTCCTCACAGCTGTTAGGTTCACTTAGCTCTGTTGTATCAGTTCAGTACGAAATCCACCTTTTCGCCATCCACCAGCATTTAATTTGTTATATTTTCATGGTGAAGCAGGACTACTAACATAATGCTGCAAATAAAACATAAAGGCAGCAAACTGTTGGAGATCAGTGGCGATCAGATTTACAATGTATTTCCAGATTCAGCTCGGTCGACGCTGGGAATATTGTGCGTCTCCTGGCTCCAGACGTGGGCGTCGTCGTCTCTTCCCTGTTTGTTCTGAGGCTGTGCAAAAAACTCTTACGTCCAGCTCCCCAAGTCAACCTCCATGAAAATGGAATCCCCCCCACTGACCCCGAGGTGACCACACACTCCTCAATGCAATGCTGAAACACTGCATTTCCTTCATAATACACACTGATATTAGTCTGACTTTTTTGTAGGATGTGGAAACCTCTGACACGGAGTCAGAAGGAGGAAGCGACACCGAGGGTTCGTCCTCTGACAGCTCAGATGAGACCACGGTGCCGGTTCAGACCGGACCGCCGCAGTTTGTCCAGAAGTTCATAGTGTTTGCAGCTGGACTGAGGTTGCTGCTGTCGGCCATCATGAACACAGCAGGAAAAGTGGTGGTCACTCTACTGCTGGGGCTGGCAGGTACGAAACAGCAGCTGTTGTGTGCATGCACATGTGCTGCAGCTTTATAATGTCATGTTTTGTCACATTCATTCATTCCCGTCAGCCTTTATTTACACTTGTATACATACATTGAGGTATTGAGGCCTCAGTAACAATGGAACCGTGTAAGAAACAAAAGAAGTGTTAAAAAGGCAAAGTTGATGAAATAATGAAAATAATCAGAGCATTTATGATTTAAACACAAAGGAATAAACCAATATTAAAGCAGCTGGATGTAAAATGAAAGGAAATTAACAACCTAAATTACCCAAAGGATAAAAAATGAGTCAAACTTTACAGATTGTTCTGCGGGTTATTTCAGGTTAAAGGTGCCCAGTGAGTAAAACTTGATTTTCCAAGCTCAGTAAAACCACCATCAGCATCATCCATCATCCATTTGAGTGTGTTTGATAAGAGCCTACATTAAAAGCAGTAAGTAATGATGTAATGTAAGAGGGTAAAAAACAAGTAAGAGCCTTATAAATAAATAAAATCAAGTGTCTATCACGCCTTACACAAAGTGAGGCCCACCCTCTTAACATGCAGCTCACAATGATCACGGGTAGTAAATCTTCATGCAGAGAAATACTGTTCAAGGCTTAAAAGTTGCTGCTGATGCACGCATGTATAAAATATAACCATGATTCCATACAAGTAGAAAAGTTTTGGATTTTAATTACAAGCTTAGACACGTGATATTTAAATGTCAGCCTCTCATTGATCTAAATTTTTACCTTTTTAAAATATATTTATGCCACTCACAGTAGAGATGACCAGATTGAATATTTTTGGTTTTGGTGAAGGTCATGAATTTGCTTTTTTCTCCGCATTAAAGCCAGTTTATGTTTATTTAGTGCAACATGTAGCTCAGCAAGAAGAATGTACAGTATTCAGACCACAGTATAAAACTGCATCATCAGCATAGAGATGTACATTACAACCAGATACAGAGGAGACGATGTTATGTATTTAAAAAAGTAAACACCACAGGACCCAGAATTAAACCTTGAGGGACGCCATTTTCAATTTTAACAAATTCTAACTTAACATTTCTAATAGCCACACATTGTTGTCTACGAGGTAACGTTAAAACCATTAAAAATAATTTAAATTTAAACCAATACTGCGAGGTCGTGATTGACTGTGTCAGATGCTAAATCTGAAATAATATAATTCAAAACATAAGTGGCAGCAGTAATAATGCTCTATCTTTCTCTAAAACCTGACTGATGTGTACTTAGAACTCGGAGTGTGCTGCCAGGGTTCTAGGATCTAGACGTGATCATTTTGAGATCGACTTGTAATTGTTGCGGTTGGACTGACTTTTGTTGTCTCGGCCTGTCGTACTGTGTGTCTACAGGTATCACGCTGCCCTCCCTCACCTCAGGAGTGTACTTTGGGGCGTTTCTCGGACTGGTGTGGTGGTGGGTATTCAGCCGCTCCATTAGCATGCTGCTATTCAGCTCCCTGTGTGTGATGATGGCCATCTTCAGCGGAGGACATCTGCTGGCCCTTTACCTCTATCAGCTGCCCCTGTCCCAGGAGCTCATACCACCACAGGACGTCTTCGCCAGGTAGAATAAAACATAGGATTTGACCGAGATAAGACTAAATTAGTTCATTGATGCCTCACCTGGGAAATTCACAAGTTGCAATAACTAGATATTAACAGAGCATATTAAGAGGCAAGACTTGAAATACAAAAGTACACTTAGAATAAAATCAAAAATATTAAATATATGATGCTTGTATTAAGATATTAGCAATAAAAACGGCTGACTTCCCTTTTTTCCTGTTGCTTGCTGAACACAATGACAAACATTTTAAAAGAAGGAGCGTCTCCAGCAGAATCCAGTCATTGAGTTGATCAGTTTTGCCAATAAATACAATTAAAAATTAACAGATTTTTTTTCTTCTTTCCCTTCAATTACATCAATTCACACAGCATCTATCACATTTCAAAGCGTTCACATAGAGCAGGTGTCGAATTGAGAAAATAAATATTTTTTCCAAGGAATCAGCTTAATATTAATTATATTTTATTGCTAATATTTTATTTCTGTCTATTTTAGTAAAATTTCTATTTATTTATTTAGGCTTGTGAATTTTTAGAATCTGTTCTTTTTCCGTTTCGGAGCTGGTTTATGTCCTTTGCCCTCTTTTCTTTACTATCCTCACATTTATTCTTGTTTCTCAGGTTCTCTCCTTTAATCCTTCCTGTTTATCTTCACGCCACACCTCTTCCCAGGTTGTTTGGTATGACCGGAGTGATCAGAACCAGCAGTTCCAGCCCGCACTCTCTCGGTCTGCACCCACATGTCAGCTGGCCCGACTTCATCAACCCTCTGGTTCTTCTGCTGCTCTACTACACACTGGTGGCTCTGCTGCACAAATGGGTTCACATCACGGAGGAGGTTGGTGTTTGTTTGAGATTAGGTCAGAAGAAGGATAGTTCAAACAGGGTTACGCACAGTGGTGGAAGAAGCATTCAGATCATTTAACTTAAGTAAACGTACCAATACAACAAAGTTAAAATACTCCAATACAAGTGATAGTCTTGAATGTAACAAGCCTATTAAGCAAAATGCAGTTAAAGCATGAAAGTTAAAGTATTATTTTGATCTCTTTCACTGATGTATTATTATATACGAGATCATGAAGTTATTTATGTGATCAGTGTATCATGTTACTGTTGTAGCTGCTGCAGGCGGAGATAGTTTGAACCACTTTATATACAGTTTTATATACAGGGACAGGAAATAAATCTGAGGGGTCGTCATCAGAAGAAGTTCTAAAACGTACATGTGTTTTCAATTTGTGGACTTTTTTTTTCTATATTCTTTGATTTTTGGTGCGATATTGGATCATTTCTAAATGTATTAAAATGAAGTAAGAACTTTAAAAAGAAAACTGTGATAGAGCTGTTAACAATTAGAGTCCTCTGAAATGTGACCCCGACTACACACTGCTTGTTGTGAAATGTCAGAAAGACAAAAAAATCACTGGTATATTCTTTTAAAGTGTGTTATGTTATTAATTGTGTGAGATCTTTATCCTAAAATGAACTAAAGCTGTCAGATAAATGCAGTGGAGTAGAAAGTACAATATTTCTCTCTGTAGTGTAGCGGAGTGTAGTATCGAGTGGAAATACTCAAGCAAAGTACAAGTGCAGTACTTCAGTAAATGTACTGAGGAACTTTTCACCGATTACTACTTCAGGACTTTCATGTTTCCATACATAGAAGAACTTTCAGGGTCCATTGGTTCCCAAGAAAAAATATGTGAAAAATATTTGTTGATATTCATTACAGACTTTTATACTATGTTAAATACACTTTATGATAAGTTGATGTATTTTTGGTTCCAAATGCATGACAAATGTCCCTCTTTTTATATTATTAAAAAAAAAAAATCTTCAACAATGATAAAAAAACCCAAAAAACAATAGCTGTCACCTAAACCAAATGGCCCAGGGTCCAAAAGACCCCAAAAGTCCTGAATAGGGTTAAATGCTACTAATACAGGTCACTGATGATGTTGCTCTAACTTTTACTTCTGGGTTGCCATCGATATGACAGAAAGACATGATTATCTTCCCCTCACCAGTCAGCATAGTCAACATATTTTATCAGATTTTGGGTGGTCAGAAGCAACACAAAGCTGTGTGTTTTAATCCCCAGGAGAACTAGGCTAATTTCCACTGCTTTCCACTTATTTCCGCTTATTAATGTTGGAGGATTTAGTACCTGTATACTACTAATACTGCACCTGCTACTCTAATGCTACACGTGAAAGTTTTACTATTACTGCATGTGGTTCTCTGTTACTGCAGACCTAAAGTACTTTACACAGATGGCATTAATTAAATTCAATTAGCCGTTTTGCCTCTCAGGATATTGCAGTTGATGAGGAGTGTGAGAGTCCGGTGGAAAGTCCAGAGGTTCCTCCAAGCTTCTCCAGAGTCATCTACATCTCAGGCGACAAACAAGAGGTAACCTACAAACATGGATGCTGCCATTCTTAATTATATTCTTGAGTCATAAAACAAATTTGAATGTGTTTTTTCTTTCTACGAGTATTGATAATCGCTGTAGATAATAGCTTAACATCTGCAAACTGTGTTCCTGCTGTTTCACTGCTAATCTACACATCAGCAATCCAAAATACACAATTCAAGTCAGGGTTTTCTCTTGTTTTAGCTTTTAAGCAGCACAGATGAAGACACCTACCTTCCTGATGAGGTGAGCAATAAGATAAATTCAGTTTACGCACCAGGATGAGGTGAGGCACGCCGATGCTCAGTGTAAATTTGATTGATCTTCAATCATTTATAAAGTTGGTGGATATTTCACTTGTTTCTCTCTTCTCAGATCTAAACTTACACTATATTCTGCTCTCCTTCTCCAGCCAATGATTCTAATGACGGCAACCTCCTGGCAAGACGTCCGCAGCAACAATCTTGGAAGTCTGTTAGGAGGTGCAGGCTACACAAACTGTTACTCTCCACCACATTATGAAGGCAAAGACTCACCGTCCAATGGTAAACACTTTCTAAATAAGAAACTTCAGCAATACTGTACATGTGCATACTTTCTATTAAGAAGCAGACACATTATGAGCTGTACATGGTCTGAGTTTTTTTTTTACTCTAGTTGCTATGACTTTCTTTAAAACAAGCTCTTCATTACATCCCTTACTTTGTCTCTCCTGTACCAGATTCTCTCTTAAGCGAGAGAGAAATGGAGGAGAAGAGTGAGGAGGTCCCACCGAGTCACACGGAGACGCCGCCTCCTCCGTCAGGTCCAAGTGGTTTGGTCATATTTGGAAGGCTGGTGCAGAAACACAGCTACGTCAGCGCCCTCATCATCATGATGGTAAAGTACAAATACTAAAACTTTTTCTTTGATTTTGTGTAGCAACTCTTTTAGTAACCTTTTATGTGGTCAACAGAGGAGCAGAGATTTCTGAAAAAGTTGGTTTTGATGTAGGTCACAGAGATTACAAACAAAATCAGGGTTTTGCTGGCAAAGAGGATATTTCAGGGTCAACCACAATGAGATTCCAGCCAAAACCAAAGGAAAATAACCAATACCACAATAAAAGGAATTGGTAATACAAATTCAGATTTTTAGGCAGTCTTGTTAATTGTGGTCTATTTTACACGAGCATTTTTATCTATCAAATGGTCAGAAATAACTGGAAAACACACAGATTTCTCTCAAATATGGAAGCAGACTCACTGTTTTTCCTGGATGTGATCTAATTTGGTATCTACAGTCTCTCTCAAAGGCCCAATCTGAGCCAGGAAGGTCCTGAGAGAGTTCTAAATAAGATGAGAAGTGTTCAGGTATTAGTTGGAGCCGTGCAGGAGACGGACCGGGCTTCAGAAAAGATGCAATAATAAAGCAGGTTACAGTACAAGGCTCTGGACCAAAGTAACACTGATTTGTTTGCACATTTATGACTCTCTTTTCATTATTGGTACTCTAATAATAATTTCTCAGTTCATTGAATATAACAAGAAGTGAGCATTACTACTTCCTGGAGCCTAACAGCGGAGCAAAAACAACAAGAAGGCTGTGACAGTGTCCTGATATCCAGTGTGTGTGTTCGTGTGTTCAGGTGTGGAGCATCACCTACAACAACTGGCTGACCTTCGCTCTGCTCGTGTGGTCCTGCATCATTTGGATGATGCGGGACCGGCGGCGCTACGCCATGATGTCCGCCCCTTTCCTCGCCATCTACGGCACCGTCCTGGTGGTTCTGGGCTTCCTGAGCGGGCTGCGTCTGAGCCGGGCCGAGCTGTACCCGGGTCTGCCGCCGGCCGTGATCGTGGACTTCGACCTGAACAGCTACCATCCTGCACCCTGCGTCCACCTGGGGGCAAAGGTTCCCACGACACTGGCTAACATTACCTACACGTTCTAATTATGTTTAAGAAAAACATGTTACTCGAAGAATGTTGTAAGAATATTTATAATATCCAATAATGTTCCTTTGAGGTTAAAAGTTAACGAAGAAAGAACGTTTTAACATTCAGAGGATGTTTGAAGAATGTTGTCAGATTATATTTCCAGATAACAAAAGAAGAAACAACATTCAAAAAAACGCTGGTCTGCCTCTGTCAGATAGTTATGCAGTTATACATCTTTCTGAGACCCTGAATCAAACCTGTTCATGTGCCCTACTTTCTGTATTTTGTGCCCATGATTCTCTTCAGGTTTTCTACAGCTTCAGTTTCTGGCTGATGTTTCGTCAGCAGCTGAAGGAGCGACAGGAGGAGCAGAGCATGAAGGCCGAATCTCTGGACGACGTCAAAGTTGTGCCACGTAATGTGTTTTTTGGTTGCTTCTCTAAAGATCACGGCTCCTGTGTTGTAAAAATATCATGTAGTTTGGAGCAATGTAAAACCTGTGTGAATGACAGCTTTCCTCTGCTGTTCCTACTCTCATTTTCTTTCACCTTTTTCCTCCCTGCCAGCTGAGGAAAGTCAGCCCTCCCCTCTGGTAGCCATGCTGATCTCAGGTGTGAAGGGCATGCTGGTGAAATACTGGATCCTCTTCTGCTGCTCCATGTTCTTTGTGATCAGCTTCTCTGGAAAGGTATGACAGGCTTAACAATGTAGCCTGTAAGATGTCGTCTAATCAAACAAGAAAAGTAGTTATTTAGTATGTCTGTGCTTGTTTGCCCTTCACTTGTATGGTAATATATTGTATATTTTCGTAGATACTAGTAAAAGTTATTTAGAAAAATCTGAATAATACGTGTATGCAGTCTCAAAACTGTTTGCTACATTTTTTTTACAGGTCAAAGTAATTTAAAAAAACCTAATCCTTGTATCTGATTTTATTTAAATTCACCTCATCATGTTTTTACTCCTTCAGGTGGTCGTCTACAAAATCCTCTACATCGTCCTTTTCCTCTTCTGTGTTGTTCTCTACCAGGTTAGTAACTTCCTGG